GAAAAAACATAAATAAAACAACAAAAATTACATTACAAAGGACAAAAGTATCTATTGACAAATAATAATGCCTTCTCACAGCGCAGTCGAAGTAAGACTTTAGTTTCGTCCAAAACGCCAGAACACAAGTTCCATTAGAACATCCTGCGTCTCAAGCATGCTGACCCTCTATAATACCTTTTCAATCTCGGCTAAGAATGTTGTGTTTTCTTAGAATTATACAAAAGCGTCTTTGTTGCAGCAAATAATTGATACCTAAAATAATAAAAAATTGAGAAAGGCAATATTGCAATACCATTTTTTAAACCTACTATTTATCAGCAAATGTCGACTAACGTTGCATTGAATTGGTTAAATGAAATAGACCAAAATGAATCCGTTTATGCTGTTTAAATAATAACATATTAATTTGATTGGATCTATGCCAAGTACCACAATGATCCATAATCTAACACAAGGATTATCAATTGAACCAATGGAATAAAATACATGTGTTAAGTCAAGAGAAATTAAAGAAAAAAAACGAGGTTATTTTGTATGAAAAATATATTATTTCATATCGATTTAATACTTAGGAGTTCGAAATGCTCGCATATACTTGGCTAATTGCATCAGTTTATAGTTTACTATATATTTGTAATATAGTATATTCTATAACATAGTAATTGTACTTCTGAATACTAAATTTATATTTAAACCTGTTGAGGTAAACATCAAACATTTAGTTCCAACACTCGAAATGATGTAAAAAGTCATTAAATCAACTTAGTTGCTTTATTTGCAAAATATTAATAATATTTATAGTAACTTTTTTTCAATATCAAAAAACCAAATACGTTTTTCATGCTACTAATGACCAATTTTATTCATTTGTCATTATTAGCTTCTTAAATATTATTTATATCTTTGTTCCATTTATATATTTATTACCTTGACTTCAGATCTCTGAACTCTATTAAGAGTGTATTGACTCTAAATACAACAAAATGACCCACAGATCCGTTACAAAGGAATGTTTATGCAATTTGAAATTGGATATGAACTGGAGAGGAAAGAATAATAACTTTAAACTTTAAGATTCCTTTAAAAATAATGTGCTATAAAAGAGTAGATCTTAATTAAGTTTTGTTGGTGTTTAATGCTTTGCCTTTTATCTAATGTGATCAGTGATGTTCATAAAAATGATGCGATGCTCATTCTATTCAGTTTATAAACTCACTTGTGCACAATACATAAATGCATCCATCTTTTTGACAGTATCAACATTCATGGCAATGCTATTATTACGTCTTCTTTGAATATATTAAATGTTCATTGAATGATACTTCGATTTTTTCATCTAAACATTATATATCTATTGTTTATAAAAATAATTTAGGAAACATTGTTTGATCATAAAAAATGCCTCATAATAGATTATCAAGGTCCGGACAATCACTTTCAGAGAACGATAAATATGCAATAACATTTCTGGTGCTGGATGGCAATATGCAGCGGATTTATTTAATTTTACCCCAAAGTTTGGGCAAAGTATTTTACGATGTTAAAAAATATAACTAAATGTAATGAAACTTTTAAAAGAATTTAATTTTTTATTTTTTAACGTTTGTGTGTGTTTCAGTTTAAATTAGTATTGTTTTGATGTTTTGGCATTGTTTATGAATATTTTATTGTTATATTTTATGTTTTGAAAGGCTACTCAGGCGAGGAATAATTTTAAACTACAATGTTTATTGATGTTATACACATAATTCTTCCCCAAAATATTGTATATATTTTGTTGTATTTTATTTCATAAAATATTTTAAGCCTCAATAAAAAAGTATGCAATTATATATTGATTCTACAAAGGTTCAATAGGAATGCAATGCTCTGATTATTAACAATATATATATATATATATTACCAATTGTAAACTTG